TTCCCTCCACTGACACTTGCCATCGCCTCTTCCGAGCCCAAGCCCGTGAGGTCTGCGATGCCACAGAACACCGGGCTGCCCTCCCTGGAGAAGGGAAGAAGCCGCGGGGACGCAGGGCACCCTCTGACGGCTCCTTTAAGGAGCAACCCCCGCCTCCACCAAGCCAGCCGCCGCCCTACACGCGCCGTCAAGTTTATGGGGCGGATCGGGTGACCGGGCAGGCAGCCGGGCCAGCCAGAGTTGGTGGCCAGACCAGAGTGGAGTGGGCACAAGGGAGGAGTGGGGAGGAGCGACCCCTCCCCCGTAGGGCCTCAGGGCAATAGGGTGCACCCAAGAGCCATCCGGAAGTGGGGCAGCCAGTCCAGGCAAAGGAGGAAGAAGCAATAGGGCCCCCTCCCCAGCCCCAGAAGGCTCTGTGAAGCAGGCAGAGGGAACAGCAGGTCCAGGAGACTAGAGTTCCTCACCTGTCCCTACACAGCTGGGGAGGTGGAGGTGGGTAATGAAGGGCTCAGTTCCCAGGAGCCAGCTGGCATGGGAGGGTCGCACGTCCGGGGATGGAGTTCTCAACTAGGGGTCTGATGGGCCCCCAGCCCAGCCCCAGCCCTTGCCCTTCCTCACCACTAGAGCCACTTAGTGCTTCTGCCACCTGGCTGGCAGAGGCTGTGAGGACAGCAGTTGGGGCAGGAAAGGAGGGGCCCGAGAGGGCCAGGCGGGGCAGTCAGAGGCGGCAGAGGCCCTCAAGTTTCACTTCTGCACTGTGGGGTGTAGGCCCATCCAGAGACCCCTCCTGATGGGTGGTTCTGCCTCTCTGCAGGGGGGTAAAGAGCATTCTGTGTGACCTCTGTGATTCAGGACACGGCTCTGAAACTTCGGTGGCTCAGTTGGGAAGGGTCTGGGATCTTAGCCTGAAACTGTCCCTGGTGGACAACCCTGTTTGTACTGCCGGGGATCTGTCTGCTTTGGAAGGGCTGAATGTTGACAATGGCTGAATGGGGCCCTTGGGTCCACCTGGGTGAACGTGACAGGGCTTGAGGATGGGCTTTCACCCCTCAATCCCCATAAAAGGCATCTTCCCACAACCTCCCCAAGGCTGCTCAGCAGCTCTGCAGTTGATCAGTGAGGGAGGCTGTGTGAGCTTCAAGTTCTGTGGCCCGTCCCCTGAAGCTTCCCTGGAGTAGCGGTGTCTGTGTCTGTGCCCAGCCAGGGTGGGGCTGTGCCCTTCTTTCCTGAGCCTCGAGACCTAGTTTTCCTGAATTGGCCTGGCCGGCTGGCAGAGGAAGAGTGCGGGTCAGGGGCCTTCGGGAGGGGAGTGGAAGGATGCACCCCAGCCTGAGCTCTTGGGCTTCTGGGAAGCAGCCTCTTTCTCCTCCCGGCTTCTGCCTTGGACCTGGGCAGCCTCCCCTGGCCCCATGCAAGCAAACAAAATTCTTTGGCTGTTTACAATTTTCCACCCTACCAGCCAAGATCAGCAAGTGCCTTTGAGGTCCCCACCCACCCCTACTGTGCCCCCTACCTGCCCCCAGTGCTTTTAGTTCTTCAGGCTCAGGGTCGTGGTCTCAGTTTCATTCCCTCCCAGCCCCGCGTCCATACTGAAAAGTAGAACCAGGACCCCCACCATCTTTCCAACATTTTGGGGCTGTCCCCGCCCACCTGAGCCCTCTGCATTGATTTCCTTGCTTCTTGGAGCAGGAAGGGAGATCTGCAGGGGTGGGAGCTCATTGTCCCTGTCCCCACAAAGTCTCCTTTCTGCTCCTCAGCCGCAGGTCCAAATGTATGCCAGACCCTGGACAGACACCTCGTGAAGGCAGCACTCTCGGAGCAGGGTCATTGTCTGTGAGCTACTCTGGACTCTGGGAGTCTCTAAGGATTCTGGAATCAGTCAGCCTGGGCCCAAGTCTTGACAGAATGGAACAAACTAGGAAGGTAGCTGTATGGCTACCTGCACCACTGCCCAAGGGCCACCTCAGCCTCCTGACCTCTACCCTTTGCCAGGAAAGGCCTGCCTGGATTCTTGCCCTGATGCTGCCTGTTAGTGGCACAGCCCACCAAGGCCTTGGTTTTTCTTCCTGGAAATAACTGGATGGTCCTGCCCATCCTACCACCTGCCTCCTCACCACCCCCCCATCACTAGCTGGAAACTGTGCCCTGCCTGGACTCTGGGTGGTGCGGCTAGGGTAGGATATTCATCTGAGGAAGGCTGGAGACAACGCTCCCAGTGCCCAGCCTGGGCTGGGTCAGGCCTTGGCTTCCCACTCACACCTGTTTTAGCCATTAAGGCTGGTGGCTCCAGCGTCACAACCTTCCCCAGTTCCGGCCACGTGGGTATTAGGACACGCTACCCTGAGGACTTAGGCATTGGGTCGGGGTGAGATAGGGGGTAGGAATGGGCCCGGGGAAGCCTGACTGAGAGGCCTGACTTCCCTGACAATCTACTACCCACCCGGGAGGAGATTTCCTGGGAGAAGGTGTTGGGGCCCTTCCCCCACCCGCCCCCAGCCTAGTAACCATGCTCCCAGGTACCCTGGCCCACCTTTTTGGAAAGATCAGTTCTTCCCCTCCTTGCCTGTTCCCCTTCCCTTCTGAGGGCCATGTCAGTGCTGAGATGGAGGGGCCGAGGGAGGGGCTGCCAGGAACCCTGGGCCTCTGGTTGTGGCCCTGCCCCCACCCGCTCCGCCCCTGCCCTCCGCCTCCTGCACATTCCTCCTGGGCTGAGGTCAGCCCCTCAGGGATGGGGTAGCCCCCCCCACCAGCCACATCACAGCTCTCCTCTCCCTCCTGTTTTCTACATTGCCCAGCAGGAGGGGGGAGGGGCGAGGCAGGGGCGGGTGGAGCCTCCTTCTCCCCTCCTCCATAGTTTACGGGAGTGAGGGATGGGGTGCCGGGAATGCAGCCAAAGTAGACTAGGGTGGCACACCATGCTTATTAACATGTATTAACATAAATACTACCTTCCCTTAATCGGTTTGGGTATAGCTGCTCAGTAGTGCAGGCTGCGGGGCTCTGGATGCCGGGGTGGGGATGAACCTGCCTCAGGAATCAACCAACCCCCTTAAGTAGGCTGGAAGGGGCGTG